CCCCTCCTGTCGGGATAGTCATTCCACCACTCCCAAGGGGGGATCGACTATCCATAATTGATGAGGAAGTGGACTTCCAGGACCTCTCCCTCTCAGGTCTCTGGCTGAACCGGGTTCTGCTTTTTTGTGTGTTTCTGAGTCAGGGCCCACCCCTGAGGGGCTCGCTGATCCCATCCTTGCCTGGTATGTTCCTCCTCCTTCCAGGGACCCCATTGGTTCGGACTCTGCCATAGCTCAGGAACCTGAGTTATCTGCCCACATGCAGCCGGTGGTTGTCCGTGCCATCTCCATGACATTGCCCAGGGGATGCAGAGGCATGACCAAGCACCTGTTGCTCCCAGCTCCTCTCAGCCCAGGCAGGAGGCTCCCTCCACTGCCAGGCAGGTCCATCACCCACCTCTGGAGTCCTTGGTGCTAAGCAAGGCTTCTGTTTTGGAGGACTTGGATCAAGAGGAGCAGGAGCTCTCGGAGGATGAGTACCTTCCTCTGGATGCTCCTGCCTTCTCAGGGCTCTTTAAGCCTAGTCTATTTAAGTCCATCTTACACAAGGCTAAGAACACCACCCAAGTGGGTACCAAACCTAAGACTGGGCAGGGATCTTCAGATTCTGCTCCGGTTAACCCCAATGCTAGCATGTTTAACATTCAGGGACCTCAGCAAGAGCTGGTGCTGGTCCCGTATCTCTTTATGGATGTCATTCAACTAACAGTGCTGCCGCTGGGACAGGGGTAGGCAGGTCCAACCACGGCAGGGTCTCCAATAGGCCGTTCTGCATGTCCAAGTGACCAACGCTCCCTTCCCATTGGGGGCCAACTCCAGCTGTACGCTCCCCAATGGGCACTGACCACAGGGGATGCCTCCAGACTGTCAGGGAGGGGCTTTCCTTGGAGTTTCTCTCCCAACCCCCTCGGAACTTCATCCACTGTCCAACCCTCTTTTGCCCTCTCAAGAGGGAACTCAGGAAATTTACCATCTTCTGGAGATCAATGCTGTAGAACAAGTTCCACCCAACCATGAGGGGAGGGGATTTTATTCCATTCTCTTCCTGGTGGCCAAGAACTCAGGGAGGGGGTGGAGAGCCATCTTGGACCTCAAGAACCTCAACCGTCACATAGCATACAGGAGGTTCAAGATGCAATCCCTGCAGACTATCCTAGCGGGGGTTCGCCAGGGCGACCTCCTCACGTCCATCGACTTGAAGGAGCCTTAGCTACACATTCCTATTCGACCACAACACCGGAGGTTCCTGTGGTTTTTCTATGCCGATCAACACTACCAGTACAGGGCCCTTCCATTCGGCCTGACATCGGCACCCAGGACCTTCACAAAAGTTCTGTCAGTGGTTGCAGTGCAACTCAGGAACAGGCCCGTAAGGCTTCAATATTACCTGGATGACATTCTCATCCAATCGTCATCCAGGAAACAGGCCTTATGGGACCTCCACATTACAATGATGACCTCAGGAATCACGGGTTCTCCCTGAACCTGGAAAAGAGTCATCTCATCCCAACTACCAAACTTGTCCATCTGGGGGCGGTGATAGAACAGAGTGTTCCTTTCCCAGGACACGATAGACAGTTTAGTATCCCTGACCCGCAAGGTTCTGGGGTTGAGGCAGGTCTCCATGCTACTCCTATCACAACTGTTGGGGAAGATGATCTCCTGCATCTCGGTCGTTCCCTGGGCACCTCTTCACTCCAGAGAGTTGCAGTGGCTTCTCATGCCCCATCAAAGAGCCAACAGGAACAACTCATCCATGAAGGTGGGGATTCCCCCAACCATGAAGAGGTCTCTCAAGTGGTGGCAATCAGCAGATCTCCTGAAGGGACACCTGTTCAAGGAGCCCACAAGAGTAGTAATCACAACAGATGCCAGCCTTGCCGGTTGGGGGGCGTACATGGCACATCGTGTAACTCAAGGCCAGTGGTCTCCAGCCAAAGCAGCCTGCAACATCAACTTCTTAGAGCTGTGAGCTGCCAAACTCACCCTGCGACATTTTCAACGGGACTTTTTTCATCAACACGTCCTCCTGATGACGGACAATGTGGCCACCAAGGCCCATATAAAAAAGGTCCAGGAAGCTCATGACGGAGGCGGAGGCCCTGGGCAGGTGGGCGGAGTGTCACGTTGCATCCATTCGCTCTGACCACATCTCGGGAGTGGACTACACGCAGGCGGACTAGTTGAGCAGGACCACCATAGACAATGCAGAGTGGCGTCTGGATCTGGCCCTGTTTGACCAATTGTCTCACAGATTTGGCACCCCAGTGATCAACCTGTTCGCCACCCGAGAGAACACGCAGCTCCAGCGCTTCTTCTCCTGCTTCCACTTGCCAGGGGCAGAGGGGATGGATGCCCTTCGATGCAGATGGTCTCAGGGTCTTCTGTATGCCTTCCCATTGCTTCTACTTCTACCACAGGTAATCTGCAAGATCATCACAGAAAGGGTGGAAGTCTTGCTCGGAGCTCCCCACTGACCTCGCAGGTCATGATATGCTGACCTCGTCAGCCTATCAGTATCATTCCCATGGCGGATTCCTCAGGACCAAGTCTCTCTCAGCCAGGGGCCATAGTACACCCAGATCCCCAGTGGCTCCAGCTGGCTGGAGCAAGATCTCAAGGGTTTGCTGTTTCCTTAAGGGTGCCACCAACTTACGTCCTCTGGTGGTCCACCACTATCCCACCTGGCAGCTATCAGTGATCTTACAGGCTCTTACCTCTCTGCCCTTTGAGCCTCTACATATGACATCTCTTCGTCACTTCACCTTGAAGACTGCCTTTCTTGTTGCAATAACATCTGCAAGATGCATCTCGGAACTGGTGGCTTTATCGGTCCAGGAGGATCTATGTGTTGTCCACCCGGACAGGGTCGTACTGCGTCTGGATCCTGCTTTTATCCCAAAGGTCAACACCTGGTTCCACAGGACACAGGAAGTAATCCTGCCTAACTTCTGCCTGTGCCCCAACCACCCGAGGGAACGTGGTTGGCACAAGGTGGACGTCAGATGGCTCTGTGAATATACATCAAACGCTCTGTGGACTTCCGTAGGTCAGAGGCCCTCTTTGTTTTGTTCTAGCCTGGCTCCATGGGTAAGAAGGTAACATCTTCCACAGTTGGTAGGTAGCAGCTGCATATGAACACCAGTCCAGGGCAGTACCCTGGCACATTACCGCCCACTCCACTAGAAGCGCTGCCACCACCATGGCCTGGGACACCCAGGCTACCATTGAAGACATCTGCAGAGTGACTACTTGGTCCTCACCATCGTCCTTTGTCAGGAACTATAAATTTGACATGTATGCCACGGCCGAGACATCTTTCGGTAGGTGGTTGTTTCCACAACTGAATCCCGAGACTGTTCTTCTGCCCGCCCTAGTGACATATAACTTGGGTATGTCCTGTCGCTTGGACTCTCCAAGCGGTGCACAGGAGAATGACAATTGGCTTACCTGAAGGGTCCTTTTCTGTGCACCGCGAGAGTCCAACCCACCCTGGTTTCTTAGTCCAGGGATTTGTGACCTCCGTGTCAACTTGGACTTTCTTTACCTGATTCATCACGCTTCCAGCCTTCATGGTTCCAAACCATCTCAAAATTCTGGCGCCAAGTAACACCAGGAGGCGTGGCCAAGGAAAAGATTCCTCAGTCCCAGGGCAACCAGACTGATTTAACCCATGGCTTGGACTCTTCTGCGGTGCACAGAAAAGGACCCTTCAGGTAAGCCAATGATCATTTTCAACAGTGATGTTAATACTTGGAAATCTTGAGCTATGTAATGTGTGCTTAAGTATGTGTATCTGTCTCAAAGTCTAAAGCTTGATTCTTTTAGGGATACATTAGGCTAAATGGGAATATTGTTGACCTATAACTTCCTGTTATTTTTAGTTATTAGATGTCTAATTTACAGTGTACGTTCATGGAAATCATTTGACATTGTGGGAGAAAGAATACATATCTTTTGCTTTTCTCTTAATTAATAAATCATGCATTTTCACAGCTGTATTAAGATTGTTTTTTATCAAAATATTAAAAGCATTTTTTTCATGGTGGCTTTCAGTTATTGAGGGCAAAATGGCTGTGGGTATATTCAAAAAGTCCAGAAAACATGTTGATAATTCATAAGATGCTACAATGCTGTAAAGAATGAAATTATTTTGAAATGTTTTCAACGTGTGCTAGTCATGTTTAAATGAGATCATCAATTATATTATCAATTGCGTTAAGAAATTGGGAAGGCTGAATTTTTATTCATGACTCTTCTACTTTAAATCTTACTGCCACTGAAAGTGGGCATAGAAGAAGGAGAACAAATGGAAATTAAGAGCAGAGAACTGCAAGGCATATATTGAAGAAAACACTCAAATTCCTGAATGGCTGGATTTAATCTACTATAAAGTCTCCTGGTGGGATGCAGGTAGAGTCTGGGCCAAGCTATTATGATGAATACAGATATTTCCAGTAGTTCATTGACTGAATTGAATGAGGAAAACTGGTGGGGATATGATTTGATAGCAAATACAAGGCTTCTCTTTTTCACACTTGATGTGGTAACTGTACATACGGTGAATGAATTAAAAGAAGCAAGGTCTACTATTATATGTGAATGAAGATTTCTGTGTAGTAGATTAAATCAGAATTCATGGCAGGAAAAGGTGTATGCATTATTTGAACACGAGATATAGATCTGCAGAAACAGACCATTTTGAATAAATCACTTTCTGAGAAAAATAATCAGTTTTACCAATTCCTAATTCACGTAAGATTTTAACGCTGTACTCTGATCCATGCTAATAATGGAAGTGGTCAATTAGCCATTGCCAGCCCACTTTGAAAGGCTGATTATATTGGTCAAGGTTTGAATATACTCTAAGTACGCTATATTTCTATTTGGTAGACTTGGTTATTTTGTGCTTCAGTTCTATTTTTTTTAAAACAGCTTAATAAATGCTCTGTCTTCTATTGTACAATTAATTGACTAAAATGTATTTTTTTTTGTTATAGCTGAGTATTGAGCAAGCGCAAGCTGTAGCAGAACAAGTTGAGATGAAGGCAAAAATGGTACAATCTGAAGTGAAGGCTGTGACTTCCAGACACAAAAAGGCTTTAGAAGAAAGAGAATGTGAGCTGCTTTGGAAGGTAAAAAGATAATGCATATGTTTATGAACTGCAGTGGCATACTTCTATGTTTTTTTTAAATTATCTATGGAAGGAAAGTTGCTTATAAAAGATGGTAATTTTGTCATATCCTGAATTAATTTTTTGTTTGTCTTCTTAAACAAAAGTTGTTATAATTGAGAATACATTAAAACAAAGTTCTTTTAATTTCATTTTTACAAAAAAGCAATGAATTCCTGCTTGGAACAGAGGTCTAAATAGATCCAGCTGGAGTTGTATGACTTGTTAGTTATAAAAGCTTAGAGGAAGAGTGAAGTGATTTCATCCCACAGTTTGAGAAATCTCTAAACTTAGCTCTATATGGAAGGTTGTTTTTTTAATGGCACTAATTAAATCTTGAAGTGTCTAATTGCCAATATCCTGTTGAGAGTCTTGCTGGTCATTTGCTAATATTAATTACCATTATTGCTGCTGACTGGTGCTTTATAACAACCATTGAGCCATGGTGGCACAGTGGTTAGAGTGCAGTACTGCAGTCTACTTCTTCTGCCTGCCAGCTGCTTGCTTTTTTCATAGTTCAAATCTCACCAGGCTCAAGGTTGATTCAGCCTTTCATACTTTCGAGGCAGGTAAAATGACGATTATGACAATTATTGTGGGCAATATGCTGACTCTGTAAACCACTTAGAGAGGGCTGTAAAAACATTGTAAAGCAGTATATAAGTCTAAGTTCTATTGCTATTTGATTGCCTACCTATGCAATGTCTTTTGCTGCAATAAATGCTTGCGTAGGGCTGACTGATTAAAGCTTGCCCCCACCCTCTTCAATTGAGAAGAATTGTTCTCATACTACAGCATTGTTTCCTTGTAGAGTCTATGTTTTTGAGCTAGGATGCTATATTAATTTCTTCAAGTTAGCATATGGGCGTTAGGTCTTTATGGGAAGGCTTTACTCAGATAGATTTTTGGAGATGGGTTTAGAAAATAAACCTGAATGAGATTAGGAAAATTTAGTTAGGAATCAGATATTTTCAGGGGAAGTAAACTGATGTTGAAGTCCTAAGGTACAGGGAGTTACTCTAATATAGCTAAAGCAGGCTATTCCAGGAGAGAGTAAGTTAATCAGGTTGTGTTACTTTTTCAAAGCCAAGTCATCAATCTATTTTGCACAGACAAGCACCCAGATAATTTCTCAAAGTCTTTCTTTCTACTATTGATGGCTAATAAAGTCATCTTTTTGGAGGATTGTATAGCCTGAAAAGCTAACTTGGAAAAGCTAATAGAGTCTTTATTGGATAAGCTAGGTAATACCATCTAAACCCAGATTTGAAGGGTTGAAGGCAGGGGTCAGGTCCTGCCCTCATTGTTAAAGATTCTGTTCCTCTTCCAGACCACAATGCAACAAACCACAATTTCATCAGGCCAGTGACATGCGGTGAGGTTTATGGCTAGTGAGGCAGCAATTTTTTTAGACTTGTGGATTTCAATTCCCAGAATTCCACAGCCAGGCATGCTCAGTTCAGCATTTGTTTTTCTCCTTTGCTAAATAGTTTTCCTTCTTTCTTCTTCTTTTTCTTCTCCCTTCCCCTCCTTCCCTCCCTCCCTCCCCCTCTCTCAAACACACACACACACACACACACACACACACACACACACAAAGTTGCACCAGGAAGATGAAGTTTGAATTCCTCCCCCTCCCT